GAGGCTGCATGGGCCTCGGGAGAAACGAGCCCCGGAGTCGGCGGGAGCGAGGTGTCCCGGTGGTGAAGAGAAAGTGTTCCCCTTCAGAGCTGGGGGTGTTTAGCCCGAGAACTGGAGGGGCCAGGCAGAAATAAGGTCATCGTCGCTGGCCAGGCTGCCACTGAAAAGAAGGTCTAGGCTCACCCTCCACATACAAAAGGTAGTCTACGCTAGTGAGTGGGGACCATAAACAAACGTTGAGCTAACGGTACATGGCACGGGCTACTTCAGGATGCAGGAAACTCTCTGCACACCCCGGCGGGTGGGTCCTTGTTGGACTTGAGGTGGATCCGACCCCCGGAATCAGCACTGCTGGGCAGGGGCTCTGTGGAAAGGAAAGGGTTAACAGCAGGCTGCCACTCACCCCTTCCAGGAGTGGGTAAGGAGAGCAGATCTCCTGGACATGTGCAGACAGTATTGACGGGTGAGAAGAAACCTGTCAGTCTCTGTCTTAAAGGTGCATTTAAGCAGAGTAAACCTGTGTGTCCAGGTGGCTTATTGCACACCAGCCTGGATTTTGTGGATTCTTAGAGCAGGGTCCACGGCAGGCTGGGGGGTTCGTCACACAGGTGTCCCAACTGTGTGCCCAATGGGCAAAGTTGGGGGGCCTTAGGGAACAAGGTTTTCACGCGCACCGCGCACGGTGCCTTATGTTAGCCTGTAGTCAATCATGCTGTCGGTGAGCTGTGTCCCACGGCCTGGGCCCTCCAGGACAGGGCTGCCTCCCTGTGTCTGGCATCCGCCTGTCTTCAGCGAGGCTGGATGTCAGGTAGGACCTACAGATCGTGTGGGCGTCTGCTTGGCTGATTCAGCTCTCTGCATTAACACCGTCTCTGCATGACTCTCATGCGTGATTATAATTAAATCAGGAACTGTCGCTTCATAGGGAATTCAAGCACGGAGTGACTAGATGGTTAGCACAGACCAGCATTTAAAAGCGAGTTCCCATAAATACTCTGGGCAGGAAAAGGGAGGGAAACCGAGGGGAAGTGGGGAGAAGGATGGCTCTGTGGTTCAGTAAGTTCGGGAAACGTCACTAACTGCACCCTCCTCTGGCACGTTCCTGTTAGAGCTCGTTTATCCGGGGCTCTGCAGAGCCCTGCTGGAGTAAGTCGCCGTTCCCCACACCTGCTTGCCCACAGAGCCTTCTGAGTCCGTGCTGACCCGGAGGACTGGGCCTTTGGTCATCCGAAGACAGGTCGGGCAGCTCTTAGGGACCAGTCCTGTGCCAGGCAGCACAACACAGGGAGATGGGGGCACCCCGCTGGGTCACCGTGCCTCAGTGTCCCTCCCCAGCACTCCCACGGCCTGACCGGTACATGTGGTCAGGGGGTCACCAAGGCAGACACAGGGCTCATCTCGAGGCAGCCGGCTGCTCCCCACGCCAGCCCCGGACCGGCAGCGAGTCCGGTCACTCGGCACCCACGGGGACACTCGTGCGGGCTTCACTCTAACTCCTGGGCCAGCCCCTTCCCGTCATGTACACATTGTAGACTTGGAAATCAACGTCCATTAAAAAGTGGGTCTCCGAGTGGCTTTACTTCCTTTCTCAGAGGTGCATAATGACAGGGTCCCCTTTCGTATGACTTTTGCACTCGGGGTTGGAAATCATATCAATGTACTACTCTCTGTAATGAAATGCAAATGTGCAAGATCCAATGGAGATTAAATGTGTGCAAATGGCAAGTGACCACTTAGCTTCTGCCTTTCGATTTTAACATTTCAAAGGTTTTGTTACCACACATGAAAAGAAAGTGTTACTGTAAGAAAAACTTAATTCTAGAACAGGGGTCCTCAAACTTTTTAAACAGGGGGCCAGTTCACCGTCCCCCAGACCGTTGGAGAGTGCGCACTATGGGCCCCGCACGAGTCGGCTGCTAAGCAGGACAGGCAGTAGCGGCAAAACACTCAGAGGGCTGGACAAATGTGCTAGGGGGCCCACATGTGGCCCGTGGGCCGTAGTTGGAGGACGCCTGTTCTAGAGTAACATTTTTAACATAGTATTTCAAATGTTAACACATTTTTATTGTGATGAAGTGACGTGGCTTCCTAGTACCATTTTTGTTAGGTCCAAAATGCAAAAGAAAGTAGCTTGGAAAGTAATAGCTAATTAGCTCATTCAAAAATGAAAATAACACCTAATAATACCTTCTGCTAAAAGCGGAACCAGCCAGAGGAAGGGGGAGGGACCGCCCGCCACAGCATCCTTTCTCCAGACACAGCCCTCGCCCCAGACCCCCAGCCCCAGGACGGGGGTCGCTGCACCTAAGCCCCAGGGAGACCGATCACTGGCCGGCTCCGTGTCAGACCAGGGTGGTGGCAGAGAGGCTGCAGAGGAAGGAAGTGGGTCTCCAAGAGGAGAGGGGCCCACGGGGCAGGAGCCACAGAGCAGCCGCCATGGTCTGTCTGTCTGACCGAGGACTTTACCCGAGAAAATTAAACGTGGGGAAAATGTTAGCAATAGTTACCAAAGTATTTTTGGTAAGAAAAACTGTGTTAAAATTTTAATTCATTAACATTTAATAACTAGTTTAACAGTGTGTTTAAGTCAGAAGATTTTAAGTTTCTTCTTACTTTCATAGATAGCGATGGCTCTGCCAGACAAGGAGCAAAAGCTAAATAAGAGTGTGTGAGCATACATGTATATTGGTGCATACATGTGCATGTGTGTGTATGTGTGCATTGTATATGTGTGTGCATGTGTGCTTGCATGTGTGTGCTTGCTCACATAGGCACACATGCCTCTATGTGTGCACATGTGTATATATGTATATATGTGCATGTATATCTGTATATACAGGTATGCATATTTATGTGTTGTATAAATGTGTGTACATGTGTGCACATGTGTATGTGTGTGTTGTTCATGTGTGTACATGTGTGCATGTGTATATGAGTGTGCATTGTGTATGAGTGTGCGTGTGTGTGTGCATAGGTATGTGTGCGTGTATGTATGAGTGTGCATGTGTGTATGCATGTGCTCTAAATTAAGTTCTAGTTACATTCTGGGCTTTAGGCTCACAGCTTGACAACTGTTACCTCTTTCGACTGACACAGCCTTTGCAGGTGGACCACATACCCATTTCACAGGTGGGAAACTACGGCTCGTCAAGCACTGAGAGTACCGGTCAGGCTTCCAATGGCTGTCTCTTACCCACCACCCTAATTCTCTTTGTCTCTAGCAGATCTTAGTGAAACGCTGTGAATTTCCCACAAGATCTTAAATAATATATCTACTTTCAAATATCTCATTGCCATCAGAATTTCACACAAGACAACAGGTCCATAAATGTGTCTTCTCAAAATTCCCTTGAATCACGGGCGCACCGTCTGCTAACTTTGTCAGACAAACATCGGTGCAGCTGAAACTCGAGCCCGGCTTCCTTCTGCTTTTGAGCACGGTGGTTAAGCAGGAGGCCAGAAGGGTTTTTTCCCAGTGATTTGTTTATTGCGTTTGTGTGGGGTTCTTTTGCCTCTCTGGAAGCTCGTTTTCATGTCTTCTTTTTTATTTGCAGAAATCATATCTTTAACCATTTCAACTACAACTTTAGTTAAGGCTTTGCATTTCCCTTCCTCTACAGTCTGATCTCAGGAACATCTACTTTCTGCTGCTGCTTGGACTCTCCTTAACATCACCATGCATTCCTTTAAGTCCTACAACCTTGACTTTGTGACCACTGTGGCGTTTGCCGTCCATCAGAGCTTTGCCCGCGTGGCCCTGATCTCCTGAGAACCCCCACCCAGTCAGCGCCTCTCAGATAATCCCCTCACAAGCCCCCCCACTCCACCACGGGCTCCCCAAGATGCACACTCGTCATCTTGCATTGCGTAAATCACTTACTGCCTCCAAAATATTTCATAGCTTAATTTTTAATTTTTCAAGACATTTTTATGTACTTGGTAAAATAAAGAATTGTGTTTCTCTCCGGACCGATGCCCTGCAGGTACTTCCTCTGTGAGCAAGATGTGCCCAAACCACTACCCAAGCCCCAGCTCAAGGCAATCAGAGTAAAATCACTCACTGTGCACTCAGAGGGAAAGCCTGTTTCTTGACAACACAGTCCTCTTACTGCAACCATAAGGGCAGTGCATTCAGGAAAGGAAGTCCTCGTTTTGCTAAGTGCAAGCACGGTCAGTCAACATGCCCGCGTTCTGGAAGATCAACGAGCAGAACAGTTCCACGGCTAACATGCCTGTCCTAGAACAGGGCCGCGCAGAAGTTAAATGGCTGAAGGGAGGGCGGAAGGGGGCCCGGGGCCTGCTCACCTGGGCAACGCCGGCGACCCGCAGCGGGCTGTCCGTCCGCCACGCTCCTCTCCCAGGCTCTCCTGGCCCCGCGGCGGCGACGGGATGGATGCCCGCCTGCCGACGAGACGCATTTGCGTTGGTCATTAAGAAAGAAGCAGGGAGACGCTAGCGCTGGCCAAGAGCGAGTTGTGCATTACCACTTCCTATTGAAAAGCAACGCCTATCTGCCCAGATGCGAATGGTTAACCATGTGCGTCCTGCAGCTCGTTAGGTGATCCCGCGATTCCTGGGAGCCGCAGTCAAAGCCACGGGCAAGGTGGGCAAGGTGGGCACCTCGAGAGGGAGGCGTGGCTGCTCCTCGGAGGAAGGCCGGGCGGCGAGGCCACACCCGGGCTTCCACACCCCTTCACCCAGGTGTCCCCCGGGAGCGAGGCCGCCCTGCAAGCTGGCCGGCAGGGTTGGGGACGTGTGGGCGCGGCCATGCGGGGCAGTGGACGGGCTCTGGGGCCCTTCCGTCTGGATTCAGCCCTGGGTCCACCTCGACAGCCGTGCCGCTGCGGAAGCATTGCTGAGGCCTGTCCATGCCTCAGTTTCCTCCTCTGGAATAGAGACGACAACAGCTCTAACCTCAGAGTGTCCCGAGACACCTGGGCCCGTCAACAGGAAGAGGTTGGAGCCCTGCCTGGGGGACGGTGGGCGCTCAGAAGTGTGGGCTACTGTTGCAGACGGTCTGAGGGCAGCAGCAGGGTCTCCGAGACGCCGGGCACCCGGTCCTCACGTGACACGAGGGCAGCCATGGGGCCGGCCCCCCTGTCATCGGACAGACAGGGGAAAGCAGCTGCTGGGGAGTCACTTAACAATTTATTTTTCGGTGTAAGTGTTCAAAAAGAGAGAGAGAATAAAAGGATTCTAGAAATCACAAAGCTGCTCACACCCGGGCTGCTGTGAACGGGGCCTCGGGGAATACAGAACTCTCCAGCAAAGACTCGGGCCACAAAGCCACAGGGGTGACTCACGCTCCTCCCCCAGCCACCAGCCTCCCGTCTCTGCGCTGCCCACGCGGCCTGGCTCCCCGGGGCTCACCACGCCTTGCTCGGGCACCTCCCCTTCCCGCGGCCAGTCCCCAGGAGAATGGCCTGTGCCCCACGCCAGCCTCCCTGGGGACCGGCCGACCACCCAGGACCCTGCCCGGCCAGAGCCCAGTCATCTCCCTGTGCTTGTCCAGCCTCCTCCTCCTCTTCCTCCTCCTCCTCTTCCTCTTTCTCTTCCTCTTCCTTCTCCTCCACCCCTCCTCTTCCTCTTCCTCCTCCTTCTCTTCCTCCTCCTTTTCTTCCTCCTCCTCTTCCTTCTTCTCCTCCTCCTTCTCTTCCTCCTTCTCCTTTTCCTCCTCCTTCTTCTCTTCCTCCTCCTCCTCCTCCTCTTGCTCCTTCTTCTCCTCCTCCTTCTCCTTTTCCTCCTCCTTCTCCTCCTCCTCTTCCTCCTTCTCCTTTTCCTCCTCCTTCTCCTCCTTCTCTTCCTCCTTCTCCTTTTCCTCCTCCTTCTCTTCCTTCTCTTCCTCCTTCTCCTTTTCCTCCTCCTCCTCCTTCTCTTCCTCCTTCTCCTTCTCTTCCTCCTCCTCCTTCTCTTCCTCCTCCTTCTCCTCCTTCTCTTCCTTCTCCTCCTTCTCTTCCTCCTTCTCCTTCTCCTCCTTCTCCTTCTCTTCCTCCTTCTCCTTTTCCTCCTCCTCCTCCTTTTCTTCCTCCTCCTCCTTCTCTTCCTCCTTCTCCTCCTCCTCCTCCCCCCTCTTCCTCCTCCTCCTCCCCCCTTCTTCCTCCTCCTCCCCCCCTTCCTCCTCCTCCTCCCCCTTCTCTCATTGCCATACCACCCTGGGCTTCCCCTTCCTGCAGGAGGGCTGCTCCGGCCACCTGGGCATCAGGGGCACCCTGTGCTCTCAGCCCAGCTCTCACCTAGTGTCCCCACGCTCCCCTCTGACCCTTTCCTGGAAATGACCTGCCTGGAAAAAACAGAAAGAAGAAGAAAAGCAGGTCTACCTTTTCTAAGGACCAAGAAAGTACATTAACCAGACATGTGGCAGGTTGAGAAAAGCACCACTGTGCAGCCACACAAAGGCCGGGACCCAGGAGGGCCATTACTCGCCCTTCCCAGGAAAACAGCGACAGTCCCGCCCCCGGAGGCAGCAGCCACCTGTCAGGCCGCAGGGCAGAGAGAAGGGCTGGGAGAAGTGTCCCCAGGAAGGTCCTCCCGATCCTCCTGCCCGAGGGGAAGGGCGGACGGGGAATGTGGGCTCTGCCCTGGCCCGGCCCTTGCGCCTGCCCACGGCGGAGCTGGACGCCCCCGCTGGCCGCTGCCCCAGCATTTCTTCCGCATTTCAAGGCAATGTCCAAATCATGTGTCATCAGACCCAGCTTGTTCACACCTCTCTGGAAAGTGCGCTAAGAGCATTTTGCATTTTTACATGAACAACTTTCCAGTCTGAAGATGTGACAGGAAACGTGACACATTCACCCAGAACGCAGGCCGGGGACCGTGTGGCGAGTGAGCATTTCAGCCACAGGAATCGCCGTAGAACTCCCGCCGAGGCGTCTCAGGAGAGCCACGTGCCCGTGGCCGCCACGCCGGTGACGCCATGGAGGGTGCCACGCCCGCCCGGCGCGGAGCTCAGAAAGGGGGCCCCGGGCCACGCAGCCGGGACACGCCGCCGCGCCGTGAGGGAGGAGGAGCCTGAAAGGGAGGTGTGTGCTTAGGACACGTGTGTTGGTTGTATGTCAGATCTCGGACTAACTCAAATTTTAAAATCTCAGATGGCAATTACATAAACGAACAGCTTTCCTGGCAAGCTGACCTCCCCACGGTTTACGCTGAGAGTTTCTTTGAGGGATGACAAAGGATTTAATGTCTTCTCAACTTTGCAGACAACCTCAAAGGATGATGGACAGGCAGGTGACTGGTACCTGCTGATGCAGGTGTGGCTGCCACAGGTGCTATCCCGTCACAGCCCAGGTGCCTTCCCACCACGGCCACAGGTGCCTTCCTGCCATGGCCACAGGTGCCTTCCCATCACGGCCACAGGTGCCTTCCCGTCACGGCCACAGGTGCCTTCCCGCCACGGCCACAGGTGCCTTCCCGCCACGGCCACAGGTGCCTTCCCGCCACGGCCACAGGTGCCTTCCCGCCACGGCCCAGGCACCTCCCTCGGCCCTCACCGACCAACAGCCCAGTGCCACACGTCTGCTGGCCACTGCGCAGGCCTGTGGGATCCAGGAAGTGACCCCCACGGACAGGCCAGGTGTTCACTCTGGTTGAGGGTCCCTGCAAGCCCGACAGCAGCCGGGCCACCAGCTGCTGGCCACGCAGGGGTCACCGGCCTGCCTCCAGCCACCCTGCGAGGGACCCTGGCTGGGAGACACTCGGCTGGGCCCCGACGACACCCGGAGCCCTGAGAGATCTCGACAATTCGCTGTTTTAAGCCACCACGAGGCCAGGCGGTTTGCTAAGCCCAGATAAACAACTGCAACAGGTTTTAACTCTTCCTGGTGCACTCAAAACTTCTGAAGTAAGGAAGCTATCTTAAAAATAAAATAAATCAAAATAAAAGCCTACTTTCTTTACGTAAAAAAAAAAAAACCCATCCCCCAGTCGGTGCGCACCCACCCCATTCCTAATGGATGTGTATGCCCATCCCCTCCTCAACCCCCCCCCCCCCCCCAAGAAAGCCTGCAGCGAGCACCGTGGCTGGGAGCGGGAGGACGTGAGACCAGAGTGGTGAGCTGCGGGCGGGCGGTGCAGGCCGCACAAAACAAAAACAGCGAACGCTGAGTCCTGCGTGGTCCCATCTGTGCCACGTGGTTTGGAGCTCTCTCTTGTCCTCCACAAAGAAATACAACAAGGCTATGCAAGAAATTATGTCAACAGGCCTGGCGCAGTGGCCTGGAATCCTAGCACTCTGGGAGGCCGAGGCGGGAGGATGGCTCAAAGTCAGGAGTTCGAGACCAGCCTGAGCAAGAGTGAGACCGCATCTCTACTAAAAATAGAAAGAAATTAGCCAAACAACTAAACATTGAAGAAAAAAAATTAGTCAGGCCCGGTGGCGCCTGCCTGTAGTCCCGGCTACTCGGGAGGCTGAGGCAGGAGGATCGCTTGAACCCAGGAGTTGGAGGTTGCTGTGAGCTAGGCTGACGCCATGGCACTCTAGCCTGGGAAAGAGAACAAGACTGTGTCTCAAAGAAAGAAAAACAAACAGAAAAAAGAAAGCAAGAAACTATTTCAGCAAATCCCCCAGTAGGGACAAAGATGCATTCTACTGGGGGCATTGCCAGTTGTGCTGACATCTCCAACTTCGGAATTTGCAGAGATTTCGAGTGGCATATCCCCCTGTTCACAGCCCGGGCTGCAGGTCTGGCCCTGGGGCGCAGCGCTCTGCCACTGCAGGCCCTGCGCCGCCGGGCCGGGCGTTGTCAGAGACCCCAAAGCGCGCCATCCACGTGCTGCCTGCAAGGAGCTTACGGAGTTGGGAAATTGAGGCACAAACACGTGACGACATGAGCAGCAGGGAATAGGCGGCGAGCCTGCGTGGGGGAAACGCAGAGGAAACAGGAATGTCCCGTTCACAGGACGGAGACAGAGCTGGGCCGGGCCGGGTGGGGAGGGTCCGGCTGGTGGAGGGTGGGGGAGGGGAGACAAGCATCAGGAGCGAAGGTGGGGGTGGGGGGACAGTGGAGGGCAGAGGGCCAGCGGGGTCAGGCCTGCAGCGCCAGGCACCACGAGAAGACACGGACACCCGTGAGCAGGGGCGTGGGTGCAGGAGGCAGCCACGCCCCCCCAGGAGCAGCCCTGCCTAAGGTCACGGGTGGCCCTAACCACGGGTGCCCGGGCTCTGGGCCGAGCCCAAGATGTGTCACCACAAGCCTAGACAGGCGGGTATGGTCTCAGTCACCCCAGCTGACACACGAGAAACCGAAACAAGGGACGTCCTCAAGTTCATACACCCAACGACACCAAGAGCCACGGCTCAAAGCCACGTCCTCCGATCCCAGAGCCCCTCTGAGCGGCCATGGAGAGGAGGGAAAGGCTGCCAGTCACTCTAAACCAGCGAGGAGCGAGAGCAGGGCGTCACGGCCAGGCCCGGTTTTCCGCCTGGACGGAATTGGGAGTGTCAGGGCTGGAACACACTTCTGAGTTGCCGACTTGTGCCTACACTGAAGACAGAGAAACTACGAGGAACTGGACTGCCAGGCAAGGAAACCACTTTTGCTGGAAGGGACACAGACTGTGAGACGTCGAGCCGTGTGACCGAGGGTCCCAGACAGTCTGGACGTGACTCCAGAGTCGCGTCAGCCGCGTGCCGGGGCACCCGTGTCCCCGTCCGTAAGACGGGGGTGCGACTTGGAAGGGTTCACAGGACGCTCAGACGCACACGGAGGGCACACCTCACACGGCGGTTGGGGCGCAGCAGCCCCGTGGTGCCGTCGTCACCATGGTCACCGTGAGAACCCTGCGGAGGGGCCGGAGCAGGAGGCGCAGGGCTAGTCACGCACAGAGAGGTCGCGGCCGAGCTCGGAGACGCCATGGACCCTGGGAGCCTGGGCCGCTGCCTGAGCGGGAGGAGAAACCAAGTCGGGACAAGAGACGCGGAAGGCACGGCCAGAGGGGTTTCGGTCACGGAGACACACGGCATGTTTAGGGAGGCGACGGAGAACCGGCCCGTGGGCCGCCTCACCGGTGTGCACGGGGTGCTCTGGGGATCAGTGTCTGATCGCGTGTGCAGGTGAGAGCCTTACCGCGGGGCCGAAGGAGGGAGAACGCCGGGGACAAGACCTGGCGACAGAAAACTCTGGAAAATGCACAGTCAGAGCAGAGAGAGCACAGAGTCGCGGAGCGCGGCCAGCACTGCGCTCTTACGTCCCCGACAGCGAGGAGCCCGCCACCAAGCCCACGCCCCACACGCCATGCCCCACACGCCACACACTCACGCCCCACACGCCACACGCGCTGCCACAGGTGCTATCCCGTCACAGCCCAGGTGCCTTCCCACCACGGCCACACGCCCCATGCCCCACGCCCACACCCCACGTCCCACGCCCCACGCCCCAGGCCCACACGCCATTCCCCAGCCCCACGCCCCACATGCCACGCCCCACATGCCATGCCCCATGCCCCACAAGCCATGCCCCACGCACACTCCCCACGTCACACCCCACATGCCACATGCCACGCACCACACACCACGCCTATGCCCCACACGTTACATGCCCCACATGCCCCACACGCCACACCCCCACGCCACGCCCATGCTCCACATGCCACATGCACCATGCCCCACATGCCACATGCCCCATGCCCCACGCCCACACCCCACGCCCCATGCCCCACACGCCACACGCCCCATGCCCCACGCCCACACCCCACGTCCCACGCCCCACGCCCCAGGCCCACACGCCATTCCCCAGCCCCACGCCCCACATGCCACGCCCCACATGCCACATGCCCCATGCCCCACGCCCACACCCCACGCCCCACGCCCCACATGCCCCACGCCCCACGCCCCAGGCCCACACGCCATGCCCCAGCCCCACGCCTCACATGCCATGCTCCACATGCCACGCCCCACATGCCACGCCCCACATGCCATGCCCCATGCCCCACAAGCCATGCCCCACGCACACTCCCCACACGTCACACCCCACATGCCACATGCCACATGCCACGCACCACACACCACGCCTATGCCCCACACGTTACATGCCCCACATTCCCCACACGCCACACCCCCACGCCACGCCCATGCTCCACATGCCACATGCACCATGCCCCACATGCCACATGCCCCCATGCCACGCCCACACCCCACACGCCACGCCCCATGCCCCACACACCACGTGCCACACCCCACACCCCCACGCCACGCCCCATACTCCCACGCCACGCCCCACGCCCAGGCCCTTGCCCCACGTACTCGACCACACCCCACGTGTCACGTGCCACACTGTAGCCTGAGCCAATACTGCCCTCAGCCGCAGTGCTGGTGGGCAGAGACACAGAGACCCAGAGACGGCGGTGGGCAGAGACGCAGAGACGGCGGTGGGCAGAGACGCAGAGATAGAGGTGGGCAGAGAGGCAGAGATGGAGGTGGGCAGAGATAGAGAGATGGAGATGGGGAGAGACACAGAGATGGAGGTGTGCAGAGACACAGAGACAGCGGTGGGCAGAGACGCAGACTTGGCCGCTTCTCTTGGACAGGGTCCGTGCCGTGCGCAGAGCGCGGTGTCCCAGCAGGCCGTGTGTGTCAGGCTTAGGTCCACCTGGAGTGGGTGGAGGCCATGGCCACTGAGGACAGTGCTCCTTGCACGGGGCCCGGGGCGGCACCCACACCCCATGACGGTGGCCGCGGCGTCCTCCCCACCTCCTCGCCAGGCGCCAGAGCCGGGCACCCACCACGCCCGTCTTTCGGGGACTTCCTGGGGTGGGACCTTCGGTGCCACAGCCAGGCCAGCGCCGGGCACCCGGCAGGCCGTCACACTGGTGTCAGCCCAGGATGTGGTCGTCCCGGCTCCTGGGTGGTCAGGGCGCCCCGGTGCCGCTGAGATGAGGGAGGGGAAGGGGGAAACCGAGGCCGGAGAGCCCGCGTGGGAGGCCGGCGGCCGCCCAGTGTGGACCGGGCGCTCCGGGCTGGCCGCCCACCGCACCGCGGGTGGAGACGGGAGACGCAGGGGGAGGTTCTGCCGCCTCCGGAGGAGACACCCAGCCTGCAAGGCTAACTGGACCCAAAACTAAAGTGCGGGAGGCGGGCGAGGAGGGAATCCCTGGGAGGGCGGGGGAGGGGGAACCCCTGGGAGGGCCCCGCGGCTGGGGCGAGTCCGGAGAATCTGGGAAGGAGCAAAGCAGCCTAGGAAGGAGCGCCCACAGCTGCAGCCTCCGCCTCCGGAATGTTCTCCGGGACGCAGGAGGGCTCCGGCCTTCCCACCTCCCGACGTCTTCTGGCCGCGGGACCCAGAGCCCCTCCGGAAGGCAGAGGCGGCCGCACCCACTCGCGCCCGCGGGCACCACGGCTCCCAATCCTGGCGCCGGCCCTGCTCTGAAGAAGTCCCCGTGACCCAGTCCCTCTCCTCACTCGCCCGGGGCCGTGGGCTAGGAGGAGGAGGGGGTTTCTAATCCGGAGTGGGCTGCGTGACAGCGGCCGCTCTGAGACATTTTCTTCGAGGTTCCAGAAGGAAGCATCTGACTCTGGCCATAGCGTCCCGGAAGCAGCTCATTCTTAGGAAAACTTGGAAAGAAAAGGGAGAATCCAACGAATCTGTGGCCGGAGTTCAGCCCGGGAAGAAGGATACGGAAATGGTAAGGGTGGCTGTTTAGGAGGCGGAAGTGTAAGAAACGGAATTTTCCCTTTCCTTTCCTTCCTTTCCTTTTTCCTTTCCTTTTCCCTTCCTTTCCCCTTCCTTTTCCCTTCCCTTCCCTTCCCTTCCCTTCCCTTCCTTCCATTTCCCTTCCACGGCAACACCCTATACTTCCCAATTTCTTGTCTGCACTTATGTTGGCGCCAAGGATAAAGAGTGAGTGCTGTGGCGTCAGCCTAGCTCACAGCAACCTCAAACTCCTGGGCTCAAGCAATCCTCCTGCCTCAGCCTCCCAAGTAGCTGGGAATACAGGCATGCACCACCATGCCCGGCTCATTCTTTCTATATATTTTTGGTTGTCCAGCTGATTCCTTTCCATCCTTGGTAGAGACAGGGTCTTGCTCTTGCTCAGGTTAGTTTTGAACTCCTGAGCTCAAACGATCCGCCCGCCTCGGTTTCCCAGAGTACTAGGATCACAGGTGTGAGCCACCGTGCTCGGTCCGGGATTTTATTTCTACCCTCGCACTGTCTGTATGTGTACTAATGAGATACGTTGGTTGTGTAATGAAACTGAATTTTCAAGAACAGAAAAAGGACCAATTACAGCAACCGTCCCTGGCGTTCACCGAGGGGAAAAAGAACAGCACCGTGTGGATATTTCCTGATCATCTTCGTTGTCTGAGCGCTCCTGTGACCAGTTCTTTCTTGGTCAGTTTCCAGACAGGGAACATGCTATTTTGCACTCCCGTCAGATATAGAAAATGACAAGGGGGAAAAAAATCAAAACGACCCTAAATTGCTGGGCAGGAGACCTGCTTGGACGCCAGGAACACGGAGCACACAGTTTGTCGGCCTGAGATGGCTGAGGTCCCTGAAACAGCTCTGGGCAGCTCTGAAACCCACTTCCAGGGACACCTGTTTTCCTCAGTCTCACTCAAAACTCCCAGGACACCGTCCCCTGCGGGCAGGATGGGCGGGTCGGCTGCCTGCGCCAGGACAGCAGAGAGGCCCCTCGCCTGCTCTCCAGGGACTCCGACCCACTGCAGAGTGGACGGGCCCAGGTGGGGACAGCACGGCCCCTGGGCACCAGCCATCGCCGTGGCGACGCCGGAGGGGAGAGGAGAGGAGATATGCAAATAATTTCAGCCTCTTCTGCAGAAACCGAAAGACTCATCCTGGCAACAGGACCGAAGGAGAACGACTTATTTTGTCGCCTGTGCATCTAATTATGCAGGTATGGCAGCGGTGATCTTTATTTTATTTTTTTTTTTTCTTATTTTTTTAATATGAGGAAGACTGATGGAAGCGGTGATCTTTAAATGTGCTAACACGTCTGTTCATCTACCAGAAAAGAAATCTGAAAGCCGCACACCCTTTTCACGCTGGGCACCTCCGGCTGAGTGACTCTGATGTTAGCTCACCCCACGAATAGAACCTGTCTGAAGCCGCCTCCCCACCCCGACCCCCCACCTCCTTGCAGGCAGCCCCGCCCAGGCCCCCTGGGGACAGACTGATGGCAGAGCACAGGGAGGGGGCCCCACAGAGCCACGGCACACCAGTGACCCAGATTCGGGGCCGGCCTTTCCCCCCGTCTGCCGGGAACCGCGGCGCTGACTTATAACGCTGCTACAGAAATGAAAGCAGGTGACGTGCGCCCACGGTGAGGGCAATGCCGCGGGCCGGCGTTACTGGCAGTTGGCGAGAGGTTTGGGATGGAAAGGGCGCCTCGCTCAGCTCTGGGCCGGGCGCGGTGGCTCACGCCTGTTATCCCAGCACTCTGGGAGGCTGAGGCAGGAGGATCACTCAAGGTCAGGAGTTCGAGACCAGCCTGAGCAAGAGCGAGACCCCCGTCTCTACTAGAAATAGAAAGAAATTAATTGGCTAACTAAAAAAAAATTTAAAATAAAATTTAAACAGCACCTCCCCCTCTGCCCCTGAAATGAACTAGGTTGGTTTTCTGTGCTGGGAGGACGGATTTCGGGTGGACCTCTGTCCACGGCGTCCTCCCCCCCACACAGCGCTCGGTGCAAGTTCCGACAGAGCGGGCCTGGGGGCCCGGACCCTGCAGTTCTGAGCCCCTCTCAGGGGTGCCGGCTGCTCCCCGGGAGGCACACGGAGGCAGGAAGGATCTAGAAGGCCTCAGCCAAGTGCCCGTGGTCTGTAACTCTAAGCCTCTCTCTCTGCCAGCCCCTAGAATTTCAGACCGACGGCTGCGTGCAGCGGGGAGTCGGGGTGACGCCAAATTTCGTGGGGGGCGGGGGGCTGGTAGGAACGGTAAGATGCTGCCAGAGAGCCCCGGCATGCCCAGCCCCAGGGGACCACACATGGGGGCCGCGGGGGACCCCGCCTGGCGTCTTGCCTGTGTCTGTGGTGGAGACCTCGCCCATCTCCGCTGCCCTGCCGGCCCCTCCCCGCCACAGCGGCCTCCCCCACCCCGTCCCGGCAGCCTCCACCCCGTGGTCTTTCTGCCCTGGAGCCTCTCCCTTGGCCTGCTCCCCCTTCCCTCGCTCCAGCTCCTCCTCCATCCCCCACCTTCTCAGCCGGGCCACCAGGAGTGGACGCATTTCAAGAGAGTGAGCGAAGGGGGAGCTTGACTGTTGCACAGGCCCCGCCCTCCCTGGGTCAGAGCCCCCATGCTCGAGTCTGCGCCCCGCCCGGGTCCCCTCCGGTCCCGAGGGCGCCCTGGGGGCAGAGCGGCACCCTCAGCAACACAGCAGCGCCTGCCGACGCTGTGGTTCGCCCGAAGAACGTGAACTTTCGACGTGTCAGCTGATCATTTCAAGCCATGCTGGTATTATCGTGGGCCCTGAGTGGGCGAAACGTGCATCCGTGCTGGGACCGCGCGCGAGTCCGCCGGCGCGTCCCGGAGACAGAGGCCGGCGCTGTCCAGCCTGCCCGGCCGTAGCCGCGCGCTTTCCCCGTCCGCTGTGTAGCGGCCGCCCCATCCACGCCCGAGTGACTGGCCTGCGCACATCGGCCGGCGTTTGCCTGCGCGGTCAACGGCCCGCGTTGGACCGCCCGAGGTCGCGGTCTGTTGTCTCCGGGGATTGGTCACCCGGCCGCCCGCCCGCCTCCGCGTCAGTGCGCTCACGCTCACGCCCAGCGGCCCCGGCCTGGGAAGCCAGAGCGCCCCGCACCCCAGAACCGCGCCCGGAACAGCAGCCCGCGTGGCAGCACCGGCACCTGAGCGTCTCCCCTGGGAGAAACTCGCCGCCTCGCCCCGGCGCTGCCGTGTCAGTTTCGGCTCGGGCCTCTGGGCGTCCGTTTCCTCTTTCTCGGGCGGTTGGTGTCATTAGGTAAGAGACCTCCAGGTAAGGAGAGCAGACAGGGTTCCTCTGATAGGAGAGGACGGGACGCGAGACCGTGGCCAGCGCCCCCGACGCGGCCGTGCGGACGGAGCCTCAGTGTTGTGAAGTCACACAAGCATGTCAACCCACAGCACAGTGAAACCCATCGCCGCCTGTTTGTCACTTTCACTTGGAAGGCGATGCCACAACAAGCTGTAGTTCCGACGCTAGGGCATGAAGGACTTCCCGGAATCAGCCCCTAAGTAAGGCCCTAAGCACACCCGGGTGCACACGTTCCCGGAGCAGCTGTCCATGTCCCGGCGCCGGCTCCAGGCCTGCCCTGCGACCCTTGCCCCGGAGACCCCTGCCCCGGCGACCCCTGCCCCGGAGACCCCTGCCCCGGAGACCCCTGCCCCGGAGACCCCTGCCCCGGCAACCCCGTGAGTCGGCACCTGCCTCTCTCCTCCCCCACCCCGGCTACCCGCCCTCTCCTCACCTGCCTCCTTCCCTGCCCCCTGCATCAGTGCCCCCCGTCCCCAGGCAGTGAGCCCCCGCCGGGCCTCACCACGCCACCCCCCACCCAGCACCCCACGCTCTGCTGCCCTGCGGCCCCCGGGTGCTCGGACGCTAAGCGAAGCAGGCGCCTTAAATCTGGGTCTGTAGGATCCCCGCCTCTTCTTCCTGGTTATAGACCGAAGGCAGCTACGGTCTATTGTAAGATTCTCTGCAAACATTCCTACGGTTCTTTCCCAGGGCTGGTCCAAAGTGACCTGCGGGGGACTTGCTGTCCACGAGAGAGACCAGACTCTGGAATCAGCCAGACTGGACTCAGGTCCTCCCACCCCCCACCCCGGCACATCCAGATGGTGTGACTTGGTTTCCCCAGCGCTTCCCAGCAGCAGCACCACCGCACCTGCCAGGTCTCTGTCGGGACTGCCCAAAGCAGCATGTCTGAGTCTCTAGAACCGTGTGTAGCAGTAACCGACTCAACAGAACCCAGTGTGTATTCTCTCTCCTTGGCGTGACTTAAGTCACCTAAATAAACAAGTGTCCAATGCATGCATGACCTGCTGACATAAACTTTCACAATACTGTGTCACCATCAAAGCACAAACCCGTTATTAAGACGAGAGAAATACGACACACTCTGTATTCCAAGACAAAACAAAAACTCACCGATGCGAGGAGGACCTCTTGGTTCCACAAACCGGCAGCCGCAGAGTTTTCCTCTTTTAGTTTCAGACTTCTCGGGTCTTCACAAGTCCACGGCCGCCGGGCCGACTGAGGGCGAGGACGTGCTCCCACGCGCGCCCTACGCCCTGCCCCAGGCAGCGCCCGGGGTTCTTCCCCGCGAGGGTGGGCGGCGTGGGGAGAGCCGCCCCACCGCAAGCCTGCCTCCCCCGGCCCGCTGCAGAGCGCACGGGGCGGCTGGCAGAGAAGGTGGAGGAAGGAAGGCGGCTTATGTAACTAGGTCACCCGATAATTTCAATCTCAGATGCAAATGTTTTTCGTTTCAGAATTATTGGTCTGTGGAATATTTCTTGTTTCTTCCTGGAAATTACAAAGCAATGAGAATGATTGTGAAGTTCTCTGAAGAGCTCCCCAGGTTGTTGTTTTTTTTTTTTAAAAAAAAAAAGGACTAGAAAACCTGAAAAGCCCGCATAACTTCTGCCCCGGGCGAGGACAGGATGCACGGGGCACCGCACCTGGCAGACAGCCCCTCCCAGGTGGGCACCGGCGGCCACAGGAGGAGGCCCGGCCCCAGCGAGAAACAGAGACACCCCCCTCGGGTGCTCTCAAAAGCTCTGTTAGCCGCTCTCTGCGCCATGTGGTCACATGTCACACTCAACCCACTTGGGGACAGCGGGGACCTGCGTTCCCATCGTCCCGGGGCCACTGCCCAGGTCCAGCTTGGGAGGAGCCCTGGAGCTCACGGGGAAACCGTGTCACCTCCTCCACTGGGGTCCACGACAAGCACCGGTCGGACCACAGATCCCCGAGGAAGGTCCCGAACTTCCCCCTTAGGGAGCCTCGGTGAGCCCTGCTAGGAAGAGAGGTGGCACGCCTCTGGGTGGCCCAGCTCGCTCCTTCCTTTCTCTCGTGACTGTAAATCGTGCTGTTCACGCGAATTATGCTTCTGTAACACTACCTCGTTTCCCCGAAAATCAGACAGGGTCTTATATGCATTTTTCCTCAAGAAGACACCCGGGCTTGTTTTCAGGGGATGTGCTATTTTCCCCTCAAAGTCTCAGCTTGCAGCACGCACAGGATGGCCGGGATCTAACAGGGGGAGGGGACCTTGTTGGTGGGGCTGCCCGCACCTTTCCGGTCACCTCTGGGACAGCAGCTGTCACCATGGGGCGGATGAGAAGGGCTGCTCGTGTTCTTTCCCGCTCCCAACGACACGCAGGGTTGTGCAGATGCGCTGGCAGCCAGGCCCGTCACTAGGGCTTATTTTCGGGGTGGGGCTTCTATTGCGCACATGCTTAGACATCCTGCTGGGGCTTATTTTATGGGGAGGTCTTATTCTCAGGGAAACACGGTATGTAGAAAGTTTATTTCATTTAACCCTGACAATCGATTTTGGGGAAATGGATATCATTGCCTCCATTTCACAGATGAAAAGAAACCGCCGGCACATAAAGGTGTCCAGCGCTTTGCCCGCTAGTGAGCCGACCGGGCAGCAGATTCGGAACGCGCGGCCCGGCCTTCCAGTCCCCGCCCCGCGCCCCAGTCTCTCCCTCCGCAGACACCGGGAGCACCGGCGAGTGGCCACATGGACGGGAGATGGCATTGCAGGAAACAGCGAGAACCTACCACGTCCACACGGAGCAGACGGCCGGCGCGGCAGCAGGGACAGGGCTGCGGTCTGGGCAGGTCTGCGGGGAGCGTGCAGGCCCGCGGTGGAAAGGCACAGAGAGGAGAGGACGCACAACGTGCGCCGGGGGTCCGCGGAGGAGAGCAGAGCTGGGCAGGAGCCGGCGGGGACGCTGGAGGGAAAAGCAAACTCTTGCTCCAGACGGAAGAAACGAGGCGCGTGCCCGGTGGCGAGGACAGCCCCGCCGGAAGGGCGGCGTGGGGGACTCCTTGCCTTTACACAACAGCCCGACAGCTAGAAGCTACTGCGCTGCTAGATCTACACTGGAAGAGGCTCTAGAGCCTCCCGCCCAGCTGCGCCCCCACACACTGTCCTGGGTCCCAACCCGGCACCCGCAGCGGAACCCTGAGTGGCGGAGGGGGGGGTGAGGGGAGGGAGAGCTGGGAGCCCCACCCTGGCAGCGGGACGCCTCGCGCGGCCCGACACTGCCCCAACTGCTGACTCCGAGTGTGCACCAACACCGCCCCTTCCTCCAGCTCGCCGGGCCTCTTCAGTCGGACGACAGCTCTGAAACCCGTCTCTCCAAATCGGTTTCCTGGAGACGGAGAAAGCCACCAGGGAGAGACGCACACGCGATGCGGAGAAAACGTGAGTGTACAGGGGACCAGAAAAAGCCCGCGATTCTGCAGCGCGTTGCTCCTCTGACTGTCTTCCTTGGATTTCAGGCAGCGCGGAGGAGCGCGGTCGGGGTGGCGCACTGGGCGAGCTCGCTACGCGGGGAGACGGCCGGCAGGGCGCAGAGGCGCGCAGGCGCGGGCGGGAGCCCGAGGACGCCCTCCCCGCAGAACTGAGCCTCCCGCGGGCAGCGTCGCTCTTGCGCTCGGCCCCGCGCCGCGCCGTCTGCGTTCAGGGAGAGGCTGCAGAGGGGCCGAGGCCCGGCGCTGAAGCGAGGGCAGCCGAGGGGCCTCGGCGCTACGCTTCGCACATGGCGCCCTGGAGGGGACGCCACGGCCGCCTGCGGGGAGCCGGAGCGGAGCTCGGGGAGCCCGCTCCTCCCCGGCCGCCGCGCGGAACCTCGGCGCTCCCTACACGCGCCTGCGCAGACCCCCGCCGGGGGCCAATCAATACCGGCGCGCCTGGCTTTGGGGGAGTTACTTAGTTCTTAAAGTAGTGTTTGGAATGTTTAGTGGTTTGAATCTTAAGTTTTCCTCTACATGGGATCTGGCGGGAGTCTTCCAAGTCCCGCTGATTTGTTTCTGGATGAGGTGGGCCAAACAAACACCTGAAAGTACTCAGAAATCCTACTTAGAACAGAGAAAACAAAACATAATGTGTCTCGTTTCTGTAAGGGCAAAGATGAAGGGACAGATCGCCAGGGAGCGGCTCTTCACACATTGTCCAGGCATAGGGTTCCTCTCCTGAAAGTTTTAGAACTTTAAGCTATTTGTGGGGCCCTTCTCCCATCCCCTTTTCTAGACAACAAGTATCCTTTCTGATAGATTCAGAGGTGTATTTCAAAATCTCAGAAAGTTGCTGTTTTGGGAGAAGGGAATCAGCATCCCCCACTTCCTGCAAATTGTTCTGAATGTCTCAGAACTGATGATGATGCCACACAAAGTAAGATCAAGAAGAATCATGAAAGATTTATACTCACAGAGTGAGGCTTTCTGGGGAGAGCAGGGGCAGGCCCCAAGCTGGTCAGTAAATGGCTTGGGAGAGGTGAGTGGCTTTTTTGAGTATTTATTGTGGTCAGTGGGTGGGGTTTGGTTGGGGGTACATCCGTTCACAATCATGCAAATCCAGCACTGGGATTTGCATGGTCTTGAATATCTTTCTTGGTGCCATGGGTGGGACTTGTACACTCATTTCTTATCAGTCTTGCCCAGATTTGGGGTAACAAGGAAAGAGGGCAGTTGGAGCTTGAAGCTTGTCTAGGTTTCCCCGAAAATCAGACAGGGTCTATAATGCATTTTTCCTCAAGAAGACACCCGGGGCTTGTTTTCAGGGGATGTGCTATTTTCCCCTCAAAGTCTCAGCTTGCAGCACGCACAGGATGGCCGGGATCTAACAGGGGGAGGGGACCTTGTTGTGGGCTGCCGCACCTTTTCT